TGTGAAAATTTTTGACGGTCAAGGGGGGGTGGGGGGGGGGGGGGTACTCTTATGCTTTGCATGCCTTAGCGGTTAGACCATTGACCACGCGTCCTCGAGAGGACGGAGCATTGTTCCCACAGGACCGATCACCGATGGCCAATCGTTCCTTCCTACTTTGCCAAAGGTGGCTCAAAAATGTCTTCCCTAGTCTGTCTATCCTACCGATGTCACTTCCCGCCTTTTCAAACCACTTTCTACTCCCCAGTACCGCTACCGTCCTCTCCTCTCTATTCCATGCCTCAAACATCTCCCTGTACGTCCCTTGTATTCTTCCCAGCTCAGTCATGTACACTTCCCTCTCCTTTTCGTACCACGGATATTCCGCGACTACATGAACACTGTCTTCGCATTCGAAGCCGCAATGACATTTGAACTTGTCGTCTTCGTCGTCTACCGTCCTATGTCTTCGTCGACGTTCGCGAAGGCCTATGTCCCCGGTCCTGAATTTGACCTTAAGCTTTGTCCCTGCATCCATTGGTCCATGTAGGTAATCCTTGAACCCTATTCCTTCTTTCAACATTCCGTACACTTCTAGACCCTCCTTATCCTTGGATTCTTTCCTTAGATTCTGTTCTTCTCTCTCGGCACAAGCAACAGATATCTTCTTCTTGAACCCCTGTAGACCCTCCGTTTCCAGCGTTTCATCTTCGTCGATGTCCAATCCCTTCCATACGTCCTCTACAACCTTGACCCATTCCGTGGGTTGTCTACCCCTCTTTTTGTTTGCCCACTTCGCCTCCCATACTATTCTCGGCAACCTCTCCTCTCCCATCCCGCACATGCGGTACTGCCATGTCAGCTTCCTTACGTCTCTTCCCGACCGTAGGGATTGGATCCCCAATTCTGCCCTGACTGCTGCATTACTTGTGCGCTTGGAGCATCCTAGGATAATTTTCGCTGCTTTCATCTGCGCCGCCTCGAGTTCTTTCACTACCTTCTTATTTCCTTCCCATACTTCTCCGGCGTACTCCAGCGGCGGTACTATTACGCTCTTCAAAACCGTCAATTTGATGCGTGTATCAAGGTGCCGGTTTGCGAGTATTGGGTGCAGCTTCCCTGCTCGTGCTTTGCCCTTTTCCGCTACCTTGGACATGTGTGCATTCCACGAGCAATCTTTTGCGATCTCTACTCCGAGGTATGTGTACTGGTCGACTACTGCAATCTCCTCGATCCCCCACTTCCATCTATGTTCTACTGGTCCCTCCCTGCCCTCGTTGCATACCATGACGGCACTCTTCGTAACGTTGGCAGACAATCTCCACTTATCAGTAAACTTCTTCGCCGCGTCAATTTGCAGTTGCAGTCCCTCAGGGGTGTCCGACATACCAACAAAGTCATCCGCAAACAGCATTCCTGACACCGAAGTTTCCGTGTCCCCTACTTTTACTCCCTTCCGGACTGCCTCTACGACTTCCAACAGATCGTTGATGAACACCTGGAACAATGTTGGGGACAGCGTGCAACCTTGTGGGACCCCTTGCTCAATGTCGAAGAATTTAGACAGTTCTCCGTCTAGCATGACCGCGCTTTTCGTACACTCTGTCATCTTCTTCAGCACCCTCCACATTTTCCCCTTGATCCCGTACTTGGACAATTGTTTCCACAGCCCATTTCTCCAAGGGGGGGGGGGGGGATCCTATTTTTTTTCTCTGTAGCAGTATTATACTTTTAAAATTAAAAAAACAAGACGACGAATCTACTCTGTATCCAACGTCTAGGAATCAAGTAAATAGCAGGGCATCGATTGCAGGGTTACCGAGGCACTAAACCGTTGTTTTTTGTTTTTTGTTTGTTTCATCAACAATACGATTCCCCAATCAGTACCTGTTTGTTTCTTACGCCTTGCCACATGCGTGTAGACTAATTACTGCTGCTGTGTGGTGTCGAAAAAACAAAAAAAGGCGGCATAGATGAGTGTGCGTCACGTGCACGCCACGGTTTTCGGGGAAAAGCGGCAAAAGTGCACGCTTTCTTGTACACATGGACCCAAGGGCTATACGAAAACAAAACCTACACTGAAAGTAAGACATGTGCCAGCCGCCCAATGTTGGCAAGGTGGGAGGGGGGGGGGGGCGAACAGTTTTCGGCCTGACCCGACCACAACAATGTTGTTGTCTTCACATAAAGTAAAACGGCGAGATTCTTTGGTCAACACGTGTGCTGGAGCTGCTGCTGCTGCTGCTGCTGCTGCTGCTGCTGCTGCTACTGCTGCTGCACATCCATCTTCCCGAAGTATGGAGCGTAAAGGGGCTGGTGTGTGTGTGTGCCTTGTATGCATGTCCCTGAAGCACGGGATGGCGTTGAAACTTTTGAAAGTCTTCCCCGTTGCCGTCTTTTTTAAATGAGGTTTTTATTTTCTTACTCATGACACAATATCCATCTCCATCTAAGATAGATTAGCAATGAATCCATAGCGTCAGCGAAAGGGCTGTCTGTGTGCCTACGATTTCCGGAACAGCAGTACACAGCTATTGTTGAGTTTTGAGTTTTGAATATTTGTTGATTTGGAAAGGAATCTATCGTTCGTTCCCTGTCTCCTCTCTCCTCCCTCCGATAGCTGCTAGCGTGTGTCTGTTCCTGCAAACCGCCCCTGGCGATACAGCAGAGACCAAGGTGAACTAATGGGCGAGAGGGGTAGTATGCACGAAAGTTCGGGCGCTGCTCATGTTCGCAACAGCAGCATGGGAGACAGGAAAGAAGAAAGGATGAACAGCAGGCTCATGTAGGGGGGGGCGGGGCGCGTCGATGGCAAAACCGCACAGAAAAACGTCGCCCTTACCCAGCATCCGAGAGGTGCAAGCACGTCGGCCAGCCGCAGAACCCATCACCTCCCAGCACAACGATCGTCTTCGCCGACCCTTCGGACATGCACAACCCCCCCGCGCTCACGGTAGCCGAAGACGACGCTCCCCTCGCAACCACGCTGGCCGCATCTGCTGCTGTTACTCGCTGCCGTCTCTTGTTTCCTGCCGCAATTTGCGCCCTAGACCCCGCTGCTGCTGCTGCTGCTGGGCCTACGGCTGAGGGCTTCCCGGCGAAGGAGGAGGACGTCGACAGGAAGCCTTCGGCATTGGCACAAAGGCTCAGCGCGCAGAGCACCACGCGCAGGGTTCTCGCCATGGTGTCACCCGAGAGGATATTTGTTGCGTGACAAGTATAGCAGCAGCAGCAGCAGCAGGGGCCAGGGGCAGAGAGAGGGTCGACAAAGGGCGGCGCCCTACAGAGTGGAAAATGGCGTGTACCCCTGTAGCAAATGATCCGGTGTGTGGGTGCCTCTCCCTCCATTGTTGCTGCTGCTGCCGCTCTTGCTGTGTGCCACACTGCCGCCTTGCTCCGTCCACACTGAGTACGGAGAGAGAACTGCAGGTGTGTATGTGTGCGTCTTTGTGTTTCTGTGGTAGGAGGCAGGGGCGGACGCTGCTTGTGAGCTTGCAAAGCCTGCAAAACTTCAGAGTCGACATCAGCCGTAATTCAAACCCAACGCTCCGCTAAGAAGACAGCTTGTATCTTGTTGGGTGCGATGGTGTTGGGCTTGCACTGTGACGTTGTCGACCCGTTCCATGTGCAAACCTTGTTGGAAGGGATGCAGGCGATGTTCTATTTCACGTTTGCTACCCCCATCGCCCCCCCCTCCCCCAGCAAAACAAGTGAAAAGTCTATGAGGCATTTGGTCGTCCCTCCATGTTCTTCGCTGTCTCTGCTGTGCAGGCTTGGGTTGCCCACCACCGACTATCAGTGTTTCTGTCCTCTCTGCTCGCTGGCTTTGTTCTGCCCAGGGTGTCGGAGACGATGGGTGTCAGCGAAGAGAACAAGGCCATTGCCGAGGCAAAGAGAAAGTGAGTGGTACCGCCTGGCTCCGTAGTTATCCGATTGTAGATACTTGTACAGGTGGTTTGCGGAAGATACCACTCCCCCTTACGCCGATTTTCAAAGCTCGAGCAGTACGTAGTACAACACTTGCAGAAAAAAAAACAGACAATTAAGCTCCCGAGAATGGCGGCGTTGGAGATCTTCTAGTCAAGAGCTTTCCGAATTATGTATCATTTGGTTTTGGGCGCGATATTCGTCGTGGAGTAGCCGAGCTTTGGAAATCGGTCCAGGGGGTGCGATGTCTTACGCAACTTTACGGTATACGCTCTCTCGCCAAGGATGCAGACAAGCTTGTCGGGTCGAGGCAGGGCTCGGCGGCCTGTTTTGCCGCGTCGGTGCGTGTGCTTAGCTTATCACGCTCGCGAGCTCTTGTCGAGAGCGTTTGTCTGCACAGAATGGGAGTGGCTCAAGTTCCTCTTGTCGACCAGCTTGTTTACGCGTGAGAGACAGGACCGAGGCCACGCGGAAAGTCACGCCGTCAAGTCCATCACACCCATACAACAGTGACATCCGCGTGACCCCCAGAGACTCAGCAGCCTCTGCGGGGATAACAAGTTCCTTTTAACGGACAGTTTGTTTACGCGTGAGGGACAGAACCGAGGCCACGCGGAAAGTCGCGCCGTCAAGTCCATCACACACCCATACAGTGACATTCCGCGTGACCCCCAGAGATCCAGTAGCCTTCGCGAGGATAATAACTTGGTTTTTGTAGGGTTTACGGGTTGGGGTTAGGGGAAAGGGTTACGGAACACATCTCTTCATTTCACATACTGAATAAAGCGCTTACTTTGAAGTACAATGCTTAGCATCCTTGTGAAGGCGGTCCCGGAGATCTCGTAGATCTCATGGATCTGCCGAGGAGAAACACAAGCAGGCCTAAACGGCGTCTTCGTCCTGTGGGGTGTGCCTGGAAAACTCGTGTATTGCCATGTAGAGGGCTGGCTATTTTACGGCCATACCAAAACTTGCCGCTCGACGCGCCCCACGCTCTTGTTCACAAGCAGTGCAAATCCACGCCAACCGCTTATTTTTCTTCTATTAACCCCGACCACATCTGGCTGTATGTTTGCATGTCGTGACCCTAGTCTCGTATTCTTTCCGGGCGCAACAGTGTGATTTCTAGTTGTCCCCCGCTTTGGTGTAACCCCACTCCGTTTTCACCACCCGTAAAAGTTGTTGGTGTTTGAATCTCCCACCCCATAAACCCGCTTGCCAATCAACGACGGCCCCCGCCGCCCCTTTCCGATGCTGCATTTTCCCCCGTATCGTTTGCTCGTTGTGGTTGTTTGTCCTGGTCGCTGCAACTGGAACGCAGGGCGGGCAATGATGCGTTTGCCAAGAAAGATCTCGACGAGGCTGTACGCCTCTATTCTGAGGTGAGTCTCGAAACGGGGGCGAGTTATCATACCCCCCCCCCCCCGTCATGTTTTGGGATTGGGGGGGGGGGGTAAAAAATGTGCGTCTGCGACGGGGCCCCCCGGGGCCTGTACTGGGTTGGGGTTTTTGGGATCTGGGCGCGCCCGCATTATCAGAACGGAAAAAGGTGGTTTTTTTCCTTGGAATACATAAGGGGGTACATCTTTCGCGCCCAAACAGGGTAGACCGGGGGGGTGTAGTTGTTGAGATTTGGGAGGAGTGAAAGCCGTTTGTTGTTTTGGGGAGCGGGGGGGGGGGGGGTCCAGATGTGTCACACCGGTAGTCACGCCTTTAGCCGGCTGGTCCGGTGGCGGCACAAACGTTCCCGGGAGCAAGGGGGGCAAGAAGAGGCGGTTTTTTGGTAGACCCTGGACCAACCTGGCGGTTTCATCCTCACAACACAATACACCCAATCCCCCCCGGGGGGAACCCCGTCCTCCAATGCAGGGGCAATGGAAAACATCCGGGGGAGAAAAGGGAGGGTCCCCCCCCCCCCCCCCTATATCTGACAGCCTCTGTTTCATACTTGTGAAACGTACCGTGGGCCGGCGAAACCCGTCATGTCGCTCCGTCCCGGCATGCGAGGTCCATGGTCTAACTATCGACTATAATACGGCATGCGTTTACATGAGCACCACCCCTCCCATATATCTTACTGCCCCGCCGGACCCCCGCTTCCCACCGCCCCGATTGTGTTGTTCATCCAGGCAATAGAGCTGGACCCATCGAGCTACATCTACCGCTCCAACCGAAGCGCGTGCTACGCTCTGCAGGGGAAGCACGAGATGGCCAAGGAGGAAGCGGAAGCGTGCATCAAAATCAACCCGGACTTCACCAAGGGTTACTATCGGTGAGTGACGGGTCGTGTCGGTGGTGGTGTTAAGTATCATGTTGTTGTGTTGTTGTTGCTGCTGCTGCTACTGCTGCTGATGCTGTTGTTGGTGTTGGCGGTTGTCCCCATTGTTATTGTGTGTTTTGGCGTCGTTGTTGTTCTTCTCGCCAAGAGCCAACGGCGATGATGATGCCCTCCAAGTCACATTCGGGCTTTGTCTTTGAATCGAATCCCGCCGCGTTCCTTGCCCAACCGACCGGTCTGCGATATGCCTACGGTAGCACACACACCCTCCCCACCCGTTCACAACGGTGGGTATCCTCTCCCGATATGGGGTTCCGTATCGTCGCCATGGTTATCTCCCTCTCACGGAACCCCCCCCCCGCAGAGGCCACC